GGAAATAAATGAAAATATAATGAATCGAATATTATATGATACCGCGACGAGTTATAATATACATACAATACATGCCGAGATTAACAACGATAACCGTGTAAATAGAATCCTTAATTTAATACGAAGTGATCATATGAGCATTGATGAGCGAAAATCCATTTTTGAAATACCAGGGTCGTGAGAACGAAGGCCGACCTCAAGCAGAGCGGGACGCGACGCGACGAACCAAAGGTGGCCGACCTGATCAATCTGGACACGGACGAGGAAGAGTTCCTCCAACTCCGGGTAGGCGCCCAGGAGCTGCCGGATGTAGACATGATGTCGGAACTGCCGGCCAGCGACGACGACGGACTGTGAGTAGGTAGACGTCGTCGTGCGGGTTGGCGGGGGAGAATGTCGCGGTTGGTATTTCGGCGACGCCAAAATACCGGCCGCTACGTCTTTCGTGTCACCCGCACGACGCGCTACAGTCGGACGGCAGGTGGAGGGGACTCGGACGTCGGCAACGACACCCGACCTCGCCGCCGGCGGGGCCGACTGTCTTGTTCCGTCCGCGCTACAACCTATTACCACCGATTGTAATAACTAGTTGTCGATAAATAAAAGTGCATAATAAAGTATTATACTCGTGTGTTGTTTCTGTCTATGTCACCCTGACTTTCCTTTACCACGTCCAGCATACCGTGTCAGATATTTACTTTTTTATATAATATTAATTTTCTTAAATGCACCATTTTCAAAAAGATAATTATAATGCCACAAATATGGCTTAGGTAGTAAAAGTTAATAAATTTAAATTGCTGTTTAAAGTTATTATCTAATAATATATTATTTTGATCTTCAGATGCACTCTCACATTTTCACTAATACAGTTCTTAATTATTACAAAATAATAAATTATTTTGAGTTATTCAAACCTTGACTATGTATTTGATATTTATTAAGTATAAAGTTGAATAATAATACCTAATACATCATTATTTAAGCCTTATTTAAGAAACATGGTTGGTGTTGTGTAAATCAATCACCAATTTTCATAAAACTATTGTATCATATTTTCCTATTATTTTTTTTTTTTATCTATTTTTTAGATTGTTTAGAAGTAATCAATAGTCCTGTTGGAAAGTGGAAAGTACTAGATGGAGCAGCAGTTACTATTGCAGATGATTCATTAAGTTCCATTAAAAAAAAAGATGCTCCAGATTCAAAAGTTCAAGTTAAACGCAAACTATTTGCACAAAGCGATGATGATGATGTGCTGGAAAAAAATGCTGGTATGATGATATTATTTACCATACTTATAATTATTATTTAAGTAGAATTTCTATGATTTTTAAATTTAAATATATTTAATAATTAAAAAGATACAACTTAATAATATTAATAATACATACATTTGTTTTAAAACTATCTACTATAGTTTTTTATGTTCTCTTCTTAAAAAAAAATTTTACATAGATTTTTAAATTGAATTATTGGACATTGCTTATAATAATATTATTGCTATTACTACTGTTAACTACTCTCAGCAGCTAACAGTGGGTATAATTAATAAACACTTTTGGTTATAGTAAACTCTTAAACACACTTTATTTTAACTGTAAATAATAACGGTAACGGTCTGGCCTCAGGACAACCCGGTCGAGAACGTTCTCCAACCCAGGTCTCCAACCAACTGCCGCACTGCACAAATACAAACTACATATACAAATCCGGGAGGGGTGGGAGGAAAAGACCCAACCATATCCGAGCACCTCTTATGGAGTATTTAACACTCGGCCCCCCTGACAAATCCTATGTCCTCATAGGACCTTACTTAATTTTATACATAATAACAAAAGAAATAAAACAATTTCAAACCTAACAGTCTTAACTACATATGGTATAACAACCCCAAAAAAACTAATTAACAACATTATAAATCATAAATATAAACAACATAATTAATTAATATTATAAATCATAAATATAAACAAACATAATTAATTAATAACTTTCATTCATAGTCATTAAACTTCCTCGGTTTCCTCCTTAGTCGGGTGGACTTCCTCACTCCAACTTCTTCTCCTTGGTCCTGTTCAGTGTTCCCAACATCTGCTTCCTCAGCAATCTGTTCCGGCTCTTCTCCTTCTGTAATGTCCTCATTGACATCAGAGGTCTCTGCGAGCTTCCACGACTTCAACTGTGATACGTGTGCTGTTGTTGCATAGTGTCTTGCTCCATCTTCTGCCAGCTGTGAGACTCGATACACATCATTTGGCAACACTTCTGTCACGACAAGAGGTCCACGGTATCGCTCCTGTAGTTTAGTGGACATGCCCGTAGCGACTGGTGCTCTGGCCATCACTACTACTTCTCCAACTACATATTGTGTTTGGTTGTGACGATGCTTGTCGTAGGCTGTCTTAACCCTTTCCTTTTGCTTCACTATCTCATTTCGCGCATCTTCCCACAGTTCAGAGGGACATAGCCATTCTTCAGCGGTAGTCGATAGGTCACGCAACCTACCCAACTCGAATCGTGGTCGGTATCCATGTAGTAATTCAAATGGAGTATGTCTTGTCACTTTGGATTCGCTGTTGTTGATCTGACGTTGCACCTCTGACAACAAAGTGTCCCACTGGTCTTCCTCTCCTGCTTTTGAAATCAACATGGCCAATATAACGCTGTTTATCCTCTCAACTTGACCATTTGCTTGAGGTCTTCTCGTAGAGTTCAATATGTGGGAGATACCATGAACCTCACAGAAGTTCTCAAACCGCTTGGACGTAAAACAAGTGCCCCTGTCAGTGATCAACTTCTTGGGCAACCCGTACCTGTTCACAAATTTGTCCATCGCATACAATACTCCTTCGGTACTAGTGTCTGTCGCTGCAAACAAGGATACAAATTTAGTTAAGTTGTCCACTAACACCAATATGTACCTATTTCCTTCGGTGCTAGTTACAAAAGGTCCAATGTGGTCTCCATGGACTACTTCAAATGGTCTCCGTCCTGGTGGTATGGGGTGTAAGACCCCTGGTTGCTTACCCCTCGGCTTCTTCGTCATCAGGCACTCCATACACATCCTTATGTGGAACCTCACGTATCTCCGGAGTCCCACAAACCAAAAGTCCTGTGTAATTTTGCTTACGGTCTTGTCCACTGACAAGTGACCACCCAGGTCGTGAGCTGCTACTACAATACTCTTACGCATGCTCTTTGGCATCACAAAAAGTTGTTTTCCCCGGTACGTTCTATACAGTAACTTACCCCTGAGACTGTATTCCTGTGCTATAGCTTGTTCGGCCTTCGTCCGGATGTTCTCTGGTTTTAGCATTATGGTCACTATGTGGCGCACCTCTTCATCGACTTGTTGTGCCATACGCACCTTGTCTTCCGTTTCTAACGTCATGCATACATCCAACCGTCCTGCTAACACTTCATCCAGGGTCTCACCTTCTTCATCCGAGATTGGGTCCCTCGACAGAGCATCTACATGTGCCATCTTCGTGCCCGGACGATGGAATATATCAAAATTATACTCCTGTAGTACATCATACCACCTTGTAACTTGTGGCCGTGTAGCTTTATGCGTCCTTAAATAAACTAACGCCTGACAGTCTGTTATAATTGAAAACTTTATCCCTAGGAGAAAATGTCTCCACTTGTCGACTGCCCAAACCATGCTCATCAACTCCAGCCTGCTTGAATGATAGTGAGTCTCAGCCATGCCTAGCTTCTTACTGATGCAGTATACAATTTGTAGGGGTGCTCCCTCCTCAGCACTCTGCAGCAGCATGGCTCCTAGCCCCACAGCGCTTGCATCTGTATGAACTTCCGTCACCGCTGCTTTCGGATTGAACATACAAAATATTGGTGTGTCCACAAAAATCATTTTCAACTCTTTGAACGCAGCCTGTTGAGATGTGGCCCACTCGAACTCGGCTCCCTTCTTTGTCAATCTGGTCAGGGGTTCAGTTAGGGTAGCATAGTTTCTAACAAACCGCCTGAAGAAACCCGTGAGCCCTAAGAATCTTCGAATTGCATGGACATCCTTCGGAGTAGGAAACTCTTCAATTGCCTTACTCTTGTCCTTGCCTGGACTGATTTTTCCTTCTCCGACCACGAACCCCAAAAACTCTATCTTTCTGGCACCAAACAAACATTTGGACGGTCTCAGCGTAAGGTTTGCTTCCTTAAGTCTTTCCAAGACCATGGTTAATTTATTCAACATGTCTGACCAGTCGACCGCGTCGATGACCCAGTCGTCTAAATAATTCTTTACCACTTTGTCCCGTAGGTTACCCAGCACCTTCCGCATCAGCCTGGTAAATTCTCCGGGCGCCCCGGCCAACCCAAAAGGCATCCTGGTGAATTGTCCCGTATCATCAGGCGTGATGAATGCTGTTTTTGTCTGAGCTGCCTCCGACAATGGGACCTGTAAATATCCTGTCGCCAGGTCTAGTTGTACGAAGTAGTTCCCGTTCCTCAGTGACTCTACTTGTTCTTGGAGGTCTGGCAGTGGAAAATTGTGCCTTAACACCTGTTTGTTCAGCTTTCGGTAATCTACACACAACCTATTTTTGCCGCCCTGCTTCACCAGAATCACCGGACTGGCATAGGGTGAGTCGGTTTCCACTACCACCCCGTGCTGTTTCCACTCACCGATAATTTCTGCTATCGCTTCGCGGTCTGCGGCTGTAGTCTTGTATGGTCTGCAGGTAACTGGTTCGCTACCTTCCATTTCATTGATCTCCATTACTGACATTTTTGTACACCCTAGTTCTTCAATTCCCAATGCAAAACAACTGCGGAATCTGTTGATCAGCTCAAGGAGCTGAGTCCTGTCTTCATCAGTCACTTCGGCGTTCACGTGCTTGAAATCTTCTATGACCAGCGGTCTCCGCTTAGGTTCAGGGGACGCCGTCAAAACTGCTAACGTGTCTAGTTTGTCCGCCCAAGTCACGACTGACACATCACGCCAATTCATCTCGTCCTGTGTCTCACACAACGTAAATTTACCACCTTCCTTTTTTATACGTCACGGTGTCCAAATCAAGCCAGTTGCGACCCACTATCATATCATAACGCTGTACACTGTCCGGTACTACCAGAACTCTGATTGGTCCAGCCTCGACACCATCCACAGTCACCATGACATCGGCTTTACCCACAGCACTTACCGATGGTACGGATACACTTCCTAACCCAAACAGCATTTTTTTGGTTTCTCTCAACTTTAGGTTACAACGCTCCGCCACACTTGACCTTAGGAGCGTGTAGTAACTCCCCGTATCTAACAGCACAGTCATGTCAACGCCTTGTATGGAACCGTACTTTATATATGGATTTTCTTCAGGCTCCTTAGACATTGTCACATTGTTTACTGTTTGTTGTGACTTACAGTCACGAGCAAAATGCCCCTCGGCACCACAGGCGAAACACTTCCTAGCCTTCTTCAGCGGACAGTCTCTCGTCCAGTGACCGACCTTACGGCACACCCAACAAGAAGACTTGTCTTCTTCGCCTGCTTCACTAGCAGTTTTCCCAACTTGTTCAGTCTTTTCGAATTTCGAACACCACTTTGGTTTCGAGGTAGTTGATGCTTCCGCGCGCCTTGGACCGCTTTTAATATTGGTCTTCGCAGTAGAATGCCCTTTTTCTTGCTTGCATTCGGTCCTAATCTCGGTCCGAATAGCATTCATCCTTGTCCAATCCAACAAATCCCCTAACAACGCGTCCTCATTGTCGTGATTTCTACCTAACACGTACATAGCTAATTCTTTCGAATAAATACCTTGTATAATATAGTCGCGACTCTCACCGAACGTCAATGCCAACGCACGACACAATCTCGACTTTTCTTGTAGATACGCCATGATATGTTCGTCTTGAGCTTGTCGCCGTTTCTGCATGGCTTCCCACCTGTCCGCCATTCGCAGTTGTCTAACAAACGTACTTCGGAATTTCTTTGTGAACTCGTCCCAATTTTCGAAGTCACGACCGATGAACCAATTTCGCGCCGCACCGACGACGTAGGACCGGACAAATTGCATACGAAGGGCATATGGCCAACAGTTCAGTTCCGCCATGCCTTCTACTGTCTTGAGCCAGTCGTCCGCCTCGTAGGCTGACTCACACCCATCGAAGGTTTTAATCGCCTTGTTCAGATCCGGAAGTACTCTGTAATCGTACGTGTCCGATCGCGATGCATTGTTGACAATAGCTCCAGCCGACGCGTTTTGGTCGTTAACGCGCCCTGCTGCGGACTCCTTTAGCAGCTGTTCCACCTTTTCCTGGAGGTCGCCCACCAGTTTATGTAACTCGTTATAAGTCGGTGCTACGGGTGGTGTGGGACTCATCTTACTTAATTCGTAACTTATTTATCGCCGGAACACAACAATATTATGTAAAAACTGTTATCACTATCAGTGACAACAACAAATCGTTATCACGGCCGTAACCACGGTGAGTGGCGTCTTCCGACGGTTACTCTTTCCAGTGCTACCAACCTCGTCCCAAACGACAATCGTCCCACTAGCCTCTCCACTTGTTACCCAAAACCACGTTGTTTCTCCGGAACGTAATTGAGTATGAATTTGAACTCGGGTACCTCTTTTTACAGCCCAGGGCCGACGCGTTGCTCTTTTCTCGCACTGTTTAAATGTTGCTGGTGAGTAAGCGCGACGTGAGGTTCCGTCGTTCCGTGACGTGACGTCTGCTCTCTTCCTTCAGCCGTACACGGCTCCGCTCGTAGTCCACTTTGTGATGGAGTAAATATCCTCAAGATATTGCTATCCCACTTCTGACTTACTGTTAACTACTCTCAGCAGCTAACAGTGGGTATAATTAATAAACACTTTTGGTTATAGTAAACTCTTAAACACACTTTATTTTAACTGTAAATAATAACGGTAACGGTCTGGCCTCAGGACAACCCGGTCGAGAACGTTCTCCAACCCAGGTCTCCAACCAACTGCCGCACTGCACAAATACAAACTACATATACAAATCCGGGAGGGGTGGGAGGAAAAGACCCAACCATATCCGAGCACCTCTTATGGAGTATTTAACACTACTATTCCCATTGTGTAAGACAAAATGTATGAATTTATATTTTATTCTATAATGTTAGTTAAAAACTTATCCATTAACTTTAAGTTCATTTTTCTCTGAAGGTAATAACAGTAAAATTGTACTATTGGATACTGTAAGTCTTAAGCAAAGTCTTATTCAATCTGCAGATGTAGTAAAGGTGGATGATTTTAATAGTGAGTTATTTATCTATTATGTTTTAATGCTGTAATGCTGTATTTTTTTTTTTTACAACTATAATAAATAATGTTATTAACTTGAATTTAAATATTGTAATGATTTAATTATAATTCAATGTGTTATATTATAGTTGACTGCATTTATTGATGTACTTAATTTTAATTTTTTCAAGGACTCAATGATTATGTTAGAACATCATTTACCAATTTAAAATATGATATTAAACATTTGGTATATGTATCAGAATCAGTTAAGAAAATGCTTGAAAATGTTAACAATATCTGCTCAGAACTGGGTGTGACAAAAAACTCTAATTTAACTGCTGTATCTGTATTAAATAATGAAAACCTCCCTATATCTAACGAAGAAACTATAAACAATTTTGAAATGTTTCTCGAATCTTCTGCTTATAGAGATAAAGTTGTAAGTATCAACATTTAGATATCAATTTAACCTATTACTTATTTTCAAAATTGTATGTTATTTGCTTATCATTTAGGTTTCAGAATTATCACTTTCAGTCGGAAAAACTATTCCTGAAACCATAAGACGCATGATGCAAAAAGTACGAGGGACGTCCAGAAAGTAAGGTTACAACATGTGTTAAAAATTGAAAAATGGATATATTTAAATGAAATTTACAAGATAGGTGTCAAAATATGTCATTATTTTTCTACATAATCGCCATTAAGATCAATACATTTTTGAAGCCTAGGGACTAGTTTTTGTATACCCTCGTCGTATACCTTCCGCTCCACCTCCCGAAGCCAATTTTCGACAGCATCCTGGACCTCCTCGTCATTTGGAAATCGTTGTTCACCCAAAAACTCCTTCAATTTATTGAAAAGATGATGATCCGATGTTGCCAGGTCCGGGGAGTAGGGTGGGTGAGTCACAATATCCCACCCAAATGAAACAAGCAGGTCCCTGAGTGAGACGGGCGGTATGAGGTCTAGCGTTGTCATGAAGGAGTGACACACCACGAGTCAGCATTCCTCTTCTTTTGCCTTTGATTTTTTTTTTCAACTTCTTGAGGGTCTCACAGTATGCAGCTGCATTTATGGTGGTTCCTTTAGGCATAAAATCGACCAATAATAACCCTTTACGGTCCCAAAAAACAGAGGCCATCTTTCTCTCTGAAAATTGGACTTTGAATTTTTCGGTTGATGGTAAATGGGTATGGCGCCACTGTAGAGATTGCCTTTTTGACTCGAGAGTATAGTGACACACCCACGTTTCGTTACCAGTCACAATTGAGTCAAGAAACGTTTCACCCTCACTTTCATACTGTTCAAGAAATTCAAAATATCTCACACCTACGGTAGGTGGAGCGATTGGAGGACGAACCGTTTGACGCATTTGGCTGCTGTGACGATATTTCGTAACGGACTGAGGTGTTTGATGATTTGTTTTGATCGTTAGAAAATTCTCTACATGATAGTGGTGACAACTCCCTTCAACTCCAAAAAATTCCCTTCGTCCTACACAGCCCTTGTAACCTTACTTTCTGGACGTCCCTCGTATTTGTTGATGATTGGTTACGCAATTACTCCTATATTGGATTTAAAGGCAAAAACAAATTTTCTTCTTTGCACTCGTGTAAAATAATATTTGGTGAGAGTTGATAATTTTTTACTTATTTATGTTATTACAAGCTGTTCGAAGCTGTTCAAAGTTTGAAAAAGTTCCTGATGTGGAAATAGCACTTACAATAAGCATGTGGATGGCTCAAGCCACTAATTGCATTACTAAAAAAACTAAAGAAAAATTGTAAATAACATTAAAGTGTACTGTTTTAACATGAAAAAAAAACTTTAAAATAAAAATTTTTGAATAAATAAAAAGATTTGTATGGCATTTTATAGTTACTCTTTGAAATATGATTGATTTGGATTTTAAATTATTGAGTGATAATTAGTAGTACAGTAAAACCTCGCTAAGACAGAATCGCTTAGGCCCGTCCAATTTTTCCATCTTAACGGAGTTTCTGACTTGATAGAGGGCTCACATTCTTTATTTATTTAAATCGCGACTAAAGAAATTATTTTTTTTATCGTGTTCCAATCTTACAGAAGTTTTGTCTTACCATAGTTTTACTGTATACGAATTGATTGTGGATATAGAAATTAAAATGGTTGTTGATCAGTAAAAAAAATAATCTTAAAACCGGAACTTAAATTGGATTGTGTCCAAATACTTAATAATTAACTATAATGTGAACAATATTTGGATTTTATTAATAACTTCAAAACTAAAAATTAAATTAAGGTGAACTGAGTACCATTATGAGGTGAATAAACTGATATATTAATGCATTAATTAGTGTACCATGGTTTGTAAGATTAAGGCATATAGGTACATAAGAATAGTTTAATATAGTTGTAACTGTAGTAGGTACTCAATTATATAGCTACAAGTATCAAATAATGAATTGTCTCATTCAATATTTGAGTACATTTAGAAAAAATATGTTAACAACACTAATCAATTATTATTGTAAAAATATGTTAATTTACATGTTTCTGAAATATATTACTTAACTATATCCTAGAAATCTGTGGTACCACATTTTGTTAAAATATATTAAAAAACATAATTCCACAATATGGAATTTTCTGCCACGAGTCGTTGTCACAATATTGCTTCATTATTGTTAACACTTAAATCACATAATTAAAACATAAATTTAAAATATTTTCGTGTTCACAAAAAATATTGATAACATATATGTAAAATATTGTAATGCTGTTTGGGTGATAACATACTGATAAGACAATTCCACGAACACGGAGTTTTACTTGTAATATTATTCTATATCTTTTTAGGAAAATATAACAAGGGGCATTGGGCAAGCATTGTGCGATTTGTGGCAACGTGGATGGCGTCGATGGCGTTTCAGTGCATGGGTAAGTGCATTTACATAATATATACGATTACTTTTGAGATTAAAATACATAATAATTCATAATACAATAATTATTGTATTAGTTTTCCAGCGAATGTCTTTCAGAAGCGTCAGTGGGTGATGTTCGCCGAGAACAATGGTGTCAATCCTCTACGAATATCGAATAACTCCAAGCTTTGTTCGAGGCATTTCGTTCCTGGTCGTGATTACGCAGGCGCGGTATTTCGCCGTCGACTCATTGCTGGAGCAGTGCCATCAGTAGTGAGTAACAACCAAAATACAACATTTGACCGCTGTACTGAACAAATAGTGCCGGGCTGCACCTACTGCATACGATTCGCTCACTTGATCATTACATTACTATACATTACAACTTGACAACTCATAAAGTGTGAATATACCCAGGTGGCGGGTATTTTACAATGGCTACAGTTTGGTACTATACCTACTAGAGTGCAAACCAAATCCAAAAGGTACTTGCATTAAGTTATTGTTGTTAGTTAATATTCTGTATTAAATTATACTCTTTTTTGTTACCTATTGCTTTTATTATTTAAAAAATTACAAACAATATTGCTGTTGTATGTATTTACAACCAATAAACAAAATACTTAATGTTTACTTACACAGTTCTTAATATTACTACTACTACTTTTATTTATTTTTTCTTAATCGTCCAACCGGGTGGATGACTGCCTATGCTTTGCTTTCCCGCCGGTCCGCCATCGTTTAATTAAATTACATAAAAATATTAATTAAATAATAGCATCTACATAAATTACAATAAAAGTTTGCATATTACAGATAATAATAATATTTACAGTTGTTACACATGATTATGATACAAAATACTAATACTACTGCTTACTTAGTACCTAGGTCTACTCGCCTTTATTTTATCATTTCACATTCAAAATGACAACAAGTAGTGTCTTACCTACACTTTCTTAATATTACTACTAAACAATAGTGTTTAACACTTTCTTTACTTTATTTATACAACTAACTTTGTTTGTACTACAGTGTGACATATTATTTACCTACTACTGATGTGTGTTTATTTTATTTTATTTTATTATTTGTTATACGGGCTTAGCCCTTTTTGACATAAACAATGTATATTTTATATCATGATAGAAATTTAAATTTTACAATAAGACAAAACTAAATTAAATATATACAGCTTACATTAATATGAAATACAATTATCTGATGACAATAGAAACTTAAACATTAAAACAAAAAACTTTAACTTAAATTTGTATATTAAAAATTTAGCAATTCGTCGAAGGATGGTTTTGGCAGACAACATTAGGCGTCTTAAAGGCATATTAGCCATATAGTTACCCACACGGCAAAGTAATGTTATCGAAATATTTTCAAAACATCTTCAAATATATGTAAATATTTGACTACATATACACAAAATATTATTATAATATATTCAAATATTTTCAAAATATTGTCACATCACTTTTTGGCAGATGAAAATGTTTTCAATACGTTTACTTTCAAATATTGTTAAAAGCTTTTCATGAAAATATTGTCAAACGAAATACCAACAATAATATTAAAAACTTTTCATGAAAATATTGTCAAAACGAAATACCAACAATATTAGTAGTATAGATTTGTATGTTCACAGTCTTTTTTTTGTGTCACCACGGTAATTTCACAACGTCCAAGGGAGGATGTCCCGCTTGGACACAATAATTTTACCGTGTAAAAATTATGAAGAATTTACACACTTTTTACACGGTAATTTCACACCGTTCAAGGGAAGATGTTCCACTTGGACACAATAATTTTACCGTGTAAAAATTATGAATAGTTTGCACACTCAAAGTCAGTTTTGTCCAAATATTTACCGTACACACTAAATGTTTTTTTCTCAACAAACCTTATTACTAAAATGAAATAATAATTACTATATTCGCATTTACATTTATGTTGGTTGCACTGCAATTGATCTAATTAATGAATGTCGGTATTTTTCTAAAAAAATGTATACAATTTTTAGTTATAAGCTGATCATTTTCTCATATTCAGTTACTAATTATCCGCCGTTCACTTAAGTCGTGTCTCATTTTTCTTCATTTTCTTGAATTTTTATTACATTGAATAAGTTATTTAATTTCTTCAAAAATGAATTTTCAAAAATGTCCAAATGATTTTGAATCATTAGTTTATCGTATACGAAATAATCCGACCATGGTTCATCCAAAATTTTCATCGTTTGCATCAAGATTTAAAACATTCAAATTATTCCCGTTACATACTTCTCAAAATAAATATACATTGTCCGAATGTGGCTTAAAATATTCAGGAGTGGATGATGTCGTGGAATGCTTTTGTTGTGGTCTTATTCTTCATAACTGGGAAAGGCTGGACGACCCATGGATTGAACATTGCAGATTCAGTCCAAGATGTTTATATGTATTATTAATGAAGGGTAATCAGTATGTTCAAAATGTATTAAGTAAATACTGTAAAACCGAACATATTCACAGTTGTGAATCTGAATCATACGATACTGTTTGTTAATCAAGTTTTTATTATATTATGTTATAGTAAATAAAAATAAAATGTTGATTTTTTTTACTGTTGACTAATCATGTTTTTATTATATGTTACACTAAATAAAATTAAATGCTGATTTTTTTAAAAAAAAACAAATTATATGTGTTAATATTTGATTTAATATCTCACGATCGTATAGACTAATGAGGTTAGTGTGTGTAGAAATAATTTAAATGTATACTAATCATGTTATAGTAAATAAAAATAAATGCTGATTTTTTTTTAAAACAACTTATATGTGTTATTATTTGATGTAATATCTCGTGAGCGTGTGGTCTAGTGGATTACTGCGTGTAGTGTTAATTTAAATGTTTTCAGGTATCAGGTAAGTATAATATATGATGTATAACCATAATTTATTTTAATTTGTTGATAGTATTTATGCTTATATTCCAATACATAAACTAGTCTATTATTATTATTAGTATTATTTACTACTGTCAATATTTGCTATTTTATTTTTTTATTAAAAAAATGGAATCAAAATCATTTATTATGGATAAAATTAACAATGTTATTCGAGAGGCCGAGAATAATGACCGAGCAATGGATGAAAAAGCAGTAGAATTAAAAAAAAAAAAAAATATTGATATAAAAATAAAAAAAGCTGTTTTAAAACCAAAAAAATTAATGAATGAAAAAAAGAAGATTATAAATGACTATTTACATTCGTTATATATTGCTAAGAAAAATGAAAAAAATATTCAAAAAGGATTATCTAAATTATATGCTCAATACAATTATATGAACAGTGGTTAATAGTTTATCAATCATTTGTTTATTAATCATTAATTTTTGACTCAAAACTGCTTTTTTATTTTTAAAGTCTTGTAAATATGTTCTGAATGTATTAATTTATTTGAATGATATTTGA